CTTATAAAATACTTTTTACAAATTAAGTCATCACATCTCCGGAAGCTGTTTTGTTAACGGCACAGATCACATCGTCTAGAGTTGATATTTACAAGCGATAATCTGCAAAACCAGAGAGGAATCTGTATCAGTGGCTCTTGTTGCAGTTGAATCCAGTTGCACACTGTATTAGGGTTTGGGTCTCTATGTTTATAAAATTATCTTATATAAGTTTCTGTTCACCACATATGTAGATGTTTTTTGAATTTTGTTTGTTTTCAGGTATCACCAGCTTTTATACGGAGCTGATGCGCGGTATTGGAGCCACAGCGCGCCTGTTTGAACTGACCGACCGTAGACCAGCAGCCGTCTGTGCAGGTGAGCCGGAATGCTCTTGTCCTTTTCGTCAAATAAAGTAGTAGCTGGGATCTTCGTTATTTTGTTTAGAGGGCGTTCGACCGCCGGCACTCTATGGTACGGTGGTTTTTAAAAACGTATCTTTCGCCTACCCAACACGGAAGGCCGTGCCAGCCGTGAACAACATTAATCTGGTCCTTAATCCAGGATCAGTAGTAGCTGTAGTTGGTCCTAGCGGATCCGGAAAATCTACTATCGCTCACTTGCTTTTGCGGCTTTACGATCCGGACGAAGGTAAGCCTGCAGTAGGTCGTTTCTCACTGAGGATGAGTGATTTACTGACCTGGAACATTTAGTGATTGCTGTTAGGTTGCTTTCTTTGGGGAGAGCATTTTTGCAAATTCCTCTTAAACCCACGTTATACGGGGTTTTCAGCGACTAAAGTAAACAGCCGTGCTTGGGTGAAGTATAACGGAGTACATCGAAGTCTATTTTTGTATATATTCTTTACGGTAGCTTGTCCTAAACACAAAAACGGTCAGACACGAAACAGCGACAGCCCACGGCTGTATGTCCCAAAATTCGCCGTCTTTAAGGCAAATCTGTCCAACAAAACGGTGTGCTACTGATTTGAAGATTACTTAAAGGATTTTGTAAAAGTGTGTATCTTTGAGGTACTTGAAAATCTATTTACCAACTCATTTACTAACTGTTCAACAACCAAGTTCTTAACTGACGATGTTTCTTTCTCAATTAGCATAAACAAACTGGAATCGATTAACCGTAGCTTTCGGTTCCTTCCCAATTTATGCGGCTGTATATAATGTTATGTTAAATTTATTTCCAGTGAATGTATTCTAGCGAAAAACACTAGTCTAAATATTGAGTCATAGATTACCTTAAAATTAGACTTAGTGGCTGTATCTGAGCAATGGAATTTTATCGGTAGAGTTGCAAACTTGTAATCAAAAAAGCTGAGTGCTAGAAAGGAGTCAGCTGTTTTTTCAAGCTAAGTAGATGAGTATCGACTTATTGGAAGAAAGCAGGGGACATTTAACTGTACTGTTTGCTTTCGAAACAGAAATTAGGCATGCCTCCGCCGCATTAACTCATGAAGGCAGAGGCCATCAAAGAAGCATCCGTAAGGAACGTTATGAGAAGACCAGCAGATAAGTAGTTGGAATCCTTCCTCCCCACCTCTTTCCCTCAGTACGGCACTAAGCGTACGAAAGAATATCTGATGACGTCTCCAAGACCAGATTTCACCTCTTGTGGCACCGCGCACTTGCTCCTAGTTGTCTAGATTGACATTTACATAGGCTACGTTCCATACTATGTGAACACCTGTCGTGCCAGATGCATCAGTTTGTTGGCTAAAACTACCTCACGCTCATTACGAACGATGTTTTAGGAACTCGTACTCCTTATGTACTACCGCATAAACACAATGGGTATTTTGTACGCCTGAGTATGTGAAATAATGCGTAACTCTTATATGACACGTTTTTTACGGCCTGTTCAAATACATGGAGAAGTGGCCTGCTTAAATAGACCTTTAAGCAACTGGGAGCGAGGGAATGTTGCAATACGGCTTGATCTGGTCTTGGAGGAGTTATATATTATGCATCAAAGCATTAGAACGTTTTGTCCAATCTGATGGTATTAGTCATGCATATCCAGTGTACGTGAACAAAGGCGAAGAAAGTTTAACATGGAGAAATCAGTTATAGGCTTTAGATCAGTAGTTATACGCAAGGTTTTGACATTGGCCTGGTTGCTCAGCTGGTTGAAAAATTAACTTCAAAATGAAAGATTACACGTTGGAATCATGGTTGGAGTTTCTAGTACCTTAGGTTATGAACTAGAAATCTTATCCATGGCCTCGAATAATGCCTTGAAAATAAAGATTTTCCATTTGGTCTTAGCCCAAAAATGGGATCATTTCATACCCTCTGAGTTTTATAAAAATAGAGTCACAACTAGCTGCCATAATGGAACCACAATTGGTAGTTTACAATTGAATTCAATATTTTTAGGCTTGTTGCAAACAGTAGCGCCGTAGTTGTTGCATAAGGTAGAACCATAGCTTAGCATCCTTTGCTTTACAGGAGACATTTATATCGATGATCTCAACTTGAAGCAGCTTGACCCGCGTTGGATTCGGGATCAAGTCGGTGCTGTTATTCAGGTAATAATTCGAACCACGTCTGATCATCCTACTTTTCTTTGGTTTTTTGAATACCGTAGGATGTAGTATTGTTTTCTTCATCCGTGGCAGAAAACATCTCGTACCCCTACCGTATTGCTGACCAAGCTTTACTGGAGGCTGCCGCCGATCGCGCTAGTGCTCTTGATTTTATTTCGCAGCTTCCGAATGGGTTCGACACTCTGGTTGGTGAAAAAGGCGTCTTACTCTCAGATATGTCAATTTTTTGTTTTTATCTTGAGCCGTTATTCTATGGACAATTGGAACCGTTTTTCGGCCAGTCAGTCGATCTTAGAGTTTGAATGGGAATAGAAGTAGAATTTATTCTGCTGAACTTCGCTGTCGTTTTTTCCAACTCTGACTACCTTAGTACAACTTTACAGAACAGATCTTTGGTTATGTACGGGCTACAGGTGACATCTAAAGTTCATTTGCTAATTGACGTCACGCGTAGTCGACAGTTGTTAACCACAGTTACCCCGGCTACCAGAAACTTTATCAGAAAGTTCAAAGCTTTCGTTCATCTCTTCAAGCAGTGATAAAAAAATTCATCTGTGCTGTATGACACACCAAACATTGCATGATGTACACCTTCATTCTTTCCATCCTCTAGAAAAATCAGGCCCTTAATAAGAAGCTGTGAACATTGTTTTTATCTATATTTGCAAGGACTAGCATAAGTCAGTGTAAGTTGACCAAATCAGCTAGGATCGTTCACCAACTTCATACTTAAACTTGCGTTTGATTTTTTAAGTCAGCTTTAAAGGGTTGTTCATCTATTCTGATTACAGAAACTGAGTGTTAATACAGACCGCAAGGTCAGACAGCAAAGTCTGAGTGTAAATACGCTCTGACACAAAGACTGGATAATATACTGACTGGCTGGCTGACTTATTGACCGACCGACCTCAGAGATGCAGATTTCTAATAGGACAGAGTTTCAGAAAGTTGAAGTTTTAATGTAAAATAATCAGGATAAAGATCAAGTCAGTAGTTTTGCTAATCATACTTCTTTCTTTGAAGCCTGTTATATTTTTTGTACATTTTGAGGGATATAAAATACTTCATAGTAGGGCATAATTATGAGGTGAAAACTGACAGAAGAAAAGCAATTTTCATACACATAAAAATATGTAAATTACAGATTAACAACCGTTTAAAGTTTATCTTCTGCAACAAATTGATCACTTCGATTTGAATCACTGGTTGAATAATTTGTATTTTTAAGTGGTGAACGCCAGCGGATCGCCATTGCCAGGGCTCTGTTGAAAGTTAGTAGTTTCTTTTTGGTTTGCTGCATAATTTCTATGCATCTTTTTAATAGAATGCACCTATACTGCTGCTGGACGAAGCGACCAGGTAAGGATGTGAACTGTATTAAAATAACAGTAAATCGTCTAATGCTTAACTCCTTCAAGACTAGATTTAACGGCGTACTACACTGCCGTTGCTTCTAGCAGCATATCGTCTGAGTACCTACAGTAACAGATGCACCTCGCATCATTCTGTTTCTTAGAACTATCCTGCACTCTCTGTAATATGTTTCAGGAGTTGTTATTTTCTATGCTACCGAATATTTCGTATGCTAGAGTATTTTACGACGTATAACTGCTCCAAAATCTGATTTCAGGTAGGTAGCGAAAAAAAATCACATGCGTTTCATTTGGTATTGCAGATGGTCCAACTCTGTGAAGCTGGTTAAGTAGCCACTTTAAGAACCAGGAGCAAAGGGACAAACGATACGCCGTAAAATCTGATCAAGATGTTGTACGTCGCCTGTAATACTCCAACATGCGAACATTTTTAGACGTTTATATGGTACAAGTTAATCGCGTTAATCAGTTATAATACTGAACTATAGAATCTTTGAAAAATACTAACTCACTCGTTTAATCATTAATAACGTTTTGTATAGTAAATAAAATTAGGCTAAAGTACTTCAAATAATTTTGTGATTGTCATAGTTCAACGGCCACTTGCTTTTACCAGCTTACCATATTGTATCCTTGTTTGTCGAACTCCCTTCTACTCATCGCGAATCATTTCTTTGTTTGCTGCGAATACGAATGTCAACTACTTGTCACTTCGCCATGGAGCATCCATACAGGTGCTGTAAGACAAAGAACCTGTAATCTGTTTAAGAACTATAGGCAGCTAAAAACAAGGTGATTACGCTGCAGTTACTCGGTGTGACTTTCAGAGCCGACACGTGATCATCAACTTCTTGTTTATTTATTTGTATTGGCAAATTTTGATCAATCTTCTAACTGTTGCACGTTTTAGTGCCCTTGATGCTCAGAGTGAACATATCGTGAAACTAGCATTGAAACGGCTGATGTTCCACACATTTGGCAAAACTGTTTTAATCATCGCTCACCGGTAATCATGCGCTGTCCACATCACCTGGTAACCTTTGCTATTTATGGCGACTTTTTTAGGCTGTCCACAGTGAAGCAGGCAAACGAAATCGTGGTCCTCAATCAAGGGAGGATCGTCGAAAGGGGGACCTTCCAAGAACTGACTTCAATCGAAAACGGCCTTTTCACAAATTTGGTACAGAAGCAATCGCTTACCGGTTGAAGGATGTCGTTCATCGGCCTACTTCTTTGATCCATTGTTTTGCTCATTCCTCAAACGAGGTCTTCTGTTTGTCCAGCTGCCATTTTGCCCATAAGAGGGGCAGATTCGATGGGGATTTTGCTCGATTTTGATTCTTTTGCCGTATTTGAAGTTTTATCAAGTTTTATCCTGTTGTTTCGACAGATCTGTGATACACGATTTGTATTGAGGTTATGATTTGGTTTCAACGGGAGGCCTTTTAAGTTATGTACCTTAGCGACCGTTAACTCAGATCACGAATCCAAGTTCTGCACATGCCTCATGATTTCGTCAGCGTTTTACACTGATTTCGACTTTATCTTTTTTTTACAGTTCTTACTGTATTTTGTAGCTCGTCTTAGTTTAGATGTAGTTCTTTACTATTTTAAAAGCAATTAATAAATCGTTTTAACTAAGCTTTGTTCATTTGCTTATCGTAATCTTTGATCATGTACTTTATCAAGCAATCACTTGATACTTCATGGAAACTGCATTATACTTTTAAAGTTTTAAGAAACAGGAGTGAGATCAAATGTCATACCAGAATCCCAAACCGAATAGGTACTTTGAATAGTCGGAAGGAGAAAGAAACAACAGGGTCATCCAGCATATTTATTTGTTTTGTGCAAGATAATTATGCGAAAACTTTAAATCGGCTCCAGGATAACGTCACGTCCAAATTTGAATAGTATTCAGGTGTGAAGCGATTCTCCACAATCGATCGACTACACTGCTTCACTTCAGGATCAGAAGTATGAACTGATTTACTACCGTAGTTGAAAACCTGGTGGAATTTACAAGGGAAACAGGGAACGCCGTCAAGAAAAAAAGCATAGATGCAAAA